CCACCTTATGTGAGGAAGGTTGTGACATTGTGTTCGACCCACCTTATGTGAGGAAGGTTGTGACATTGTGTTCGACCCCCCTTATGTGAGGAAGGTTGTGACATTGTGTTCGACCCACCTTATGTGAGGAAGGTTGTGACATTGTGTTCGACCCCCCTTATGTGAGGAAGGTTGTGACATTGTGTTCGACCCACCTTATGTGAGGAAGGTTATGACATTGTGTTCGACCCCCCTTATGTGAGGAAGGTTGTGACATTGTGTTCGACCCCCCTTATGTGAGGAAGGTTGTGACATTGTGTTCGACCCCCCTTATGTGAGGAAGGTTGTGACATTGTGTTCGACCCCCCTTATGTGAGGAAGGTTGTGACATTGTGTTCGACCCCCCTTATGTGAGGAAGGTTGTGACAGTGTGTTTGACCCCCTTATGTGAGGAGGGTTGTGACAGTGCGTTCGACCCCCCTTATGTGAGGAAGGTTATGACATTGTGTTCGACCCCCCTTATGTGAGGAAGGTTATGACATTGTGTTCGACCCCCCTTATGTGAGGAAGGTTGTGACGGTGTGTTTGACCCCCTTATGTGAGGAGGGTTGTGACAGTGTGTTCGACCCCCCTTATGTGAGGAAGGTTGTGACAGTGTGTTCGACCCACCTTATGTGAGGAAGGTTGTGACAGTGTGTTCGACCCCCTTATGTGAGGAAGGTTGTGACAGTGTGTTCGACCCCCTTATGTGAGGAAGGTTGTGACAGTGTGTTCGACCCCCCTTATGTGAGGAAGGTTGTGACAGTGTTCGACCCACCTTATGTGAGGAAGGTTGTGACAGTGTGTTCGACCCCCTTATGTGAGGAAGGTTGTGACAGTGTGTTCGACCCCCTTATGTGAGGAAGGTTGTGACAGTGTGTTCGACCCCCTTATGTGAGGAAGGTTGTGACAGTGTGTTCGACCCCCTTATGTGAGGAAGGTTGTGACAGTGTGTTCGACCCCCTTATGTGAGGAAGGTTGTGACAGTGTGTTCGACCCCCTTATGTGAGGAAGGTTGTGACAGTGTGTTCGACCCCCTTATGTGAGGAAGGTTGTGACAGTGTGTTCGACCCCCTTATGTGAGGAAGGTTGTGACAGTGTGTTCGACCCCCTTATGTGAGGAAGGTTGTGACAGTGTGTTCGATCCCCCTTATGTGAGGAAGGTTGTGACAGTGTGTTCGACCCCCTTATGTGAGGAAGGTTGTGACAGTGTGTTCGACCCCCCTTATGTGAGGAAGGTTGTGACAGTGTGTTCGATCCCCCTTATGTGAGGAAGGTTGTGACAGTGTGTTCGAATCCCCTTACATGAGGAAGGTTGTGACAGTGTGTTCGAACCCCCTTATATGAGGAAGGTTGTGGCAGAGTGTTCGAATCCCCTTATGTGAGGAAGGTTGTGACAGTGTGTTCGAACCCCCTTATGTGAGGAAGGGTGAGACAGTGTGTTCGACCCCCCTTATGTGAGGAAGGATGTGACAGTGTTTGACCTCCCTTATATGAGGAAGGTTGTGGCAGTGTGTTCGAACCCCCTTATATGAGGAAGGTTGTGGCAGAGCGTTCGACCCCCCTTATGTGATGAAGGTTATGACAGTGTGTTCGACCCCTTTATGAGAAGAAGGTTGTGGCTGTTGAACAAGGTGAACACTAGTAACTTAACAAGGTGAACACTAGTAACTCAACAAGGTGAACAATAGTAACTTAACAAAGGGAACACTAGTAACTTAACAAGGTGAACACTAGTAACTTAAAAGGAACACTAGTAACTTAGCAAGGTGAACACCATTAACTTAACAAGGTGAACACTAGTAACTTAACAAGGTGAACACTAGTAACTCAACAAGGTGAACAATAGTAACTTAACAAAGGGAACACTAGTAACTTAACAAGGTGAACACTAGTAACTTAAAAGGAACACTAGTAACTTAGCAAGGTGAACACCATTAACTTAACAAGGTGAACACTAGTAACTTAACAAGGTGAACACTAGTAACTTAACAAAGTGAACACTAGTAACTTAACAAGGTGAGCACTAGCAACTTAGCAAGGTGAACACTAGTAACTTAGCAAGGTGAACACTAGTAACTTAACAAACGGAACATTAGTAACTTAGCAAGGTGAACACTAGTAACTTAACAAGGTGAACACTAGTAACTTAACAAAAGGAACACAAGTAACTTTACAAGATGAACACTAGTAACTTACCAAGGTGAACACTAGTAACTTAACGAGGTGAATACAAGTAACTTAGCAAGGTGAACACAAATAACTTAGCAAGGTGAACACAAGTAACTTAACAAGGTGAACACTAGTAACTTAACAAGGGGAACAATAGCAACTTAGCAAGGTGAACAATAGTAACTTAACAAGGTGAAGACTAGTAACTTAACAAGGGGAACACAAGTAACTTTACGCAGTGAACACTAGCAACTTAGCAAGGTGAACACTAGTAACTTAACAAGGAGAACACAAGTAACTTAACAAGGTGAAGACTAGTAACTTAACAATTTGAACACAAGTAACTTAACAAGGTGAAGACTAGTAATTTAACAAGGTGAACACAAGTAACTTAACATGGTGAACACAAGTAACTTAACAAGGTGAACGCTAGTAACTTAACAAGGTGAACACAAGTAACTTAACAAGGTGAACATTAGTAACTTAGCAAGGTGAAGACTAGTAACTTAACAAGGTGAACACAAGTAACTTAACAAGGTGAATATTAGTAACTTAGCAAGGTGAAGACTAGTAACTTAAGGTGAACACAAGTAACTTAACAAGGTGAACATTAGTAACTTAACAAGGTGAACACTAGTAACTTAACAAGGTGAACACTAGTAACTTAACAAGGTGAACACTAGTAACTTAAAAAGGTGAACACTAATAACAAGATGAACACTAGTAACTTAGCAAGGTGAACACTAGTAACTTAACAACGTAAACACAAGTAACTTAGCAAGGTGAACACAAGTAACTTAACAAGATGAACACTAGTAACTTAACAAGGTGAACAATAGTAACGTAGCAAGGTGAACACTAGTAACTTAACAAGGGGAACACAAGTAACTTTACATAGTGAACACTAGTAACTTAGCAATGTGAACACTAGTAACTTAACAAGGTGAACACAAGTAACTTAACAAGGTGAAGACTAGTAACTTAACAATTTGAACACAAGTAACTTAACAAGGTGAAGACTAGTAATTTAACAAGGTGAACACAAGTAACTTAACAAGGTAAACACAAGTAACTTAACAAGGTGAACACAAGTAATTTATCAAGGTGAACACAAGTAACTTAGGAAGGTGAACACAAGTAACTTCACAAGGCGAACATTAGTAACTTAACAAGGTGAACACAAGTAACTTAACAAGTTGAACACAAATACCTTAGCAAGGTGAAAACAAGTAACTTAACAAGGTGAACACTAGTAACTTAACAAGGTGAACACTAATAACTTAACAAAGTGAACACAAGTAACTTTACAAGGTGAACCCAAGTAACTTAACAAGGTGAAGTCTAGTAACTTAACAAGGTGAACGCAAGTAACTTGACAAGGTGAACGCTAGTAACTTAACAAGGTGAACACAAGTAGCTTAACAAGGTGAACATTAGTAACTTAACAAGGTGAACACTAGTAACTTTACAAGGTGAACACAAGTAATATAATAAGGTGAACACTAGTAACTTAACAAGGTGAACACTAGTAACTTAACAAGGTGAACACTAATAACTTAACAAGGTGAACACTAGTAACTTAACAAGGTGAACACTAGTAACTTAACAAGGTGAACACTAGTAACTTAACAAGGTGAACACAAGTAACTTAACAAGGCGAACACAAGTAACTTAACAAGGTGAACACTAGTAACTTAACAAGGTGGACACAAGTAACTTAACAAGGTGAAGTCTAGTAACTTAAGGTGAACACAAGTACCCTAACAAGGTGAACATAAGTAACTTAACAAGGTGAACACTAGTAACTTACGGTGAACACAAGTACCTTAACAAGGTGAACATTTGTAACTTAACAAGGTGAACACTAGTAACTTAAGGTGAACACAAGTACCTTAACAAGGTGAACACTAGTAAATTAAGGTGAACGCAAGTACCTTAACAAGGTGAACACTAGTAACTTAGGTAGGTGAACACTAGTAACTTACCAAGGTGAACAATAATAACTTAACAAGGTGAACACTTGTAACTTAGCTAGGTGAACACTAGTAACTTAAGGTGAACACAAGTAACTTAACAAGGTGAACACAAGAAACTTAACAAGGTGAACACAAGTAACTTAACAAGGTGAACACTAGTAACTTAACAAGGTGAATACAAGTAACTTAACAAGGTGAACACAAGTAACTTAACAAGGTGAACACTAATAACTTAACAAGGTGAACACTAGCAACTTTACAAAGTGAACACAAGTAACTTAAGTTGAACACTAGTAACTTAAGGTGAACACTAGTAACTTAAGGTGAACACTAGTAACTTAACAAGGTGAACACAAGTAACTTAAGTTGAACACTAGCAACTTAACAAGGAGAACACTAATAACTTAACAAGGTGAACACTAGTAACTTAACAAGGTGAACACAAGTAACTTAACAAGGTGAACACTAGTAACTTAAGGTGAACACAAGTATCTTAAAGTGAACATTAGTAACTGAAGGTGAACACTAGTAACTTAAGGTGAACACAACTTAACAAGGTGAACACTAGTAATTTAAATTGAACACAAGTGACTTAACAAGGTGAACACAAGAAACATAACAAAGTGAACACTAGATACTTAAGGTGAACACTAGCAACTTAAGATGAACACAAGTAACTTAGCAAGGTGAACAAAAGTAACTTAACAAGGCGAACACTAGTAACTTAAGTTGTACACAAGTGACTTAACAAGGTGAACACAAGTAACTTAACAAAGTGAACACTAGATACTTAAGGTGAACACTAGCAACTTAAGGTGAACACAAGTAACTTACCTAACCAGGTGACCATCCTTGAACCAGCGTATGGTAGGTGGCGGCTTGCCCTCGGCTTTGCAGTTTAGAGTCGCAGGTTCACTCCTGGGTACGGTAATGTCAGTAGGGTGTTCCGTGATCCGCGGGGACCGGAACGAACCTGCGGTAGGAACACGAAACACATCAGAACACCGCAGGAACACTGAACAAAGTGAACACATAGTCAAGTGTTAGCCAAAGCAAATTAGCTGATAGAGGGCAGATATATTATTAATTATTATTATTATTATTATTATTATTATTATTATTATTATTGTTGTTTATCCCCTCGGCCGTCTCCCACCAAGGCAGGGTGACTCGAGAAACATTTTCATCATTCACTCCATCACTGTCTTGCCAGTGATGGAGTGCAGGCACTGTACTTCATCCCTCTAGGACTCGAGTCTGGCTACGCGGTTTTCTGAATCCCTTCATAAATGTTACTTTGCTCGCACTCCAACAACACATCAAACCATAAAATACATTTCGTTCCACTCCTATCTAATACGCTCACATACGCTTGCTGGAAGTTCAAACTCCTCGCACACAAAACCTCCTTTACCCCCTCCAATCATTTCTAGGCCGACCCCTACTCCATCTTCCTTCCACTACAGATTTATATACTCTCCAAGTCTTTCTATTTTGTTCCATCCTCTCTAAATCTCGAGACCACCTCAACAACCCCTCCTCAACCCTCTGGATAATACTTTTAGAAACCCAGCACCTCCTTCTAATCTCCAAGCTACATATTCTCTGTATTATATTCACACCTCATATTGCGCTCAGACCTCCAGCCTCCAGCCTTCTCCTTGTTACAACATTCACCACCCATGCTTCACACCCATATAAGAGCATTGGTGCCACTATACTCTTATACATTAGCCTCTTTTCTTCCAGGGATAACATTGTTTGTCTCCATAGACTCCTTAGTGCTCCAATCATCCTTTATCCTTCAGAATCAATTCTATGGTTTACCTCATCTTTCACAAACCCATCTGCTGATAAGTCCACTCCCAAATGTCTTAATACATTCACTTCCTCCATGCTCCCTCCCTCCAATCTGATACCCAATCTTTCGTTTCCTAATTTTTTGTTAACTTCATCACATTACTTTTTCCTATGCTCACTTTTAATTTCCTTCTTTTACATACCTTACGAAACTCATCCACCAACCTCTGCAACTTTTCTTCAGAATCTCCCAAAAGCACAGTGTTATCAGCAAAAAGCAACTGTGACAACTCCCACTTTGTGTTAGATTATTTATCTCTTAATCCCACACCTCTTGCCAAGACACTAACATTCACTTTTCTTACAACCTCATCTATAAATATAATGAACAACCATGGAGATATCACACATCCTAGTCGAAGACCTACTTTTACTGGGAAATAATCTTCCTCTCTCCTTTTAGTAACCTACCTCCTATTCCATACACTTGCAACATCTGTCACATTGCTGCCTTATCCACCCTATCATATGCCTTTTCCAAATCCATAAATGCAATGAAAACCTCTTTACCCTGATTTAAATACTGTTCACCTACACATTTCATGTTGGTCTACACACCCCCTACACTTCCTAAAGCCTCCTTGCTCATCTGTGATCCTGCTCTCCATCTTATTCATAATTCCTTCAATAATAACTCTACCACACACCTTACCAGGTATACTGAACAGTTTTATTCCCTTATAATTTTTACACTGTTTTTTGTTCCCTTTGCTTTTATACAAAAAAGCTATGCATACTCTCTGCCAATTCTTTGGTACCTTCCCCGTTTCATACATTTATTAAATAAAAGCACTAACCACTCCAAAACTATATCTGTCTTGATCCCATCAATACAGCCTCACATACCTCCCACACACTTGTATTTCTTTCTCAATCCTGTATACAAGATCTTATAGTTCCCTGCTCAGTGCACAAAATCAAAGCTTCCTTATCTTCATGAGCATTTAATAGCTCCGCAAAATATTCCTTCCATCTTCCTGATACCTTCAACTCTCAATCTAATAAGTCTCCTCTTCTATTTTAAACTGTCAACTACATTTGCTCCCTAGGCTTTCTTAACTTATTAATCTCACTCCAAAACTTTTTCTTATTCTCTGCATAATTTGTTGATAGCATCTCCCACTCAGTTCCTCTCCTGATACATTCCTTCACCATTCTCTTAACCTCTCTTTTTCTCTCCCTATATCCTTCCCTTCCTGTATCACTTCTACTCTGTAAAAGCCTCTCATATGATAACTTTTTCTCTCTTACTCTCTTTGCCTCACCAATCCACCAGTTGCTCTTCTTCCCTCCTGCACCCACTTTCCAGTAACCACAAACTTCTGCTGAACACTCCAACATTACACTCTTCAATTTATCCCGTACCTCTTCAAATTCATTGCCTGTACTCTCACTAGCCCACTTTTCTTCCAAAAATTGTTTATATCTGACCCTAACCGCCGCCTCATCCTCCTCCTTTAGTTTATAAACCTTCATCTTTCTCTTACTTACTGATACCACTCTCCTTGTATCCCATCTACATTTAACTCACACTGATGATACAGCTAAAACATGATCTGATATATCTGTGGCCCCTCTATAAACATGTACATCCTGAAGTCTACTCAACAGTCTCTTACCTACCAATACACAGTCCAACAAACTACTGTTATTACGCCCTATATCATATATTGTATACTTATTTATCCTTCTTTTGCTGTTAAAATATGTATTACCTATTATCAAACTTCTTCCTAATCATGAGCCCCTTTTATCATTTACACTTGGCACCCGAAACTTACCTACCACGCCTTCTATTATTACTGTTACTATTGTTATTATTATATTATTATTATTATTATTATTATTATTATTATTATAAATATTACTATTATTATTACTATTATTATTATTATTATTATTATAAATATTATTATTATTATTATTATTATTATTATTATTATTATTATTACTATTATAAATATTACTATTATTATTATTATTATTATTATTATTATTATTATTATTATTATTACAGAGAATGGGTGACAATCACAGCTGGTACAAGAATGGGTGTCAGTCACTGCTGGTACAAGAATGGGTGTCAATCACTGTTCGTACAAGAATGGGTGACAATCACTGCTCGTACAAGAATGGGTGACAATCACTGCTCGTACAAGAATGGGTGACAATCACTGTTTGTACAAGAATGGGTGACAATCACTGCTCGTACAAGAATGGATGGCAGTCACTGCACGTGCAAGAATGGGTGAGAGTCACTGCTGGTACAAGAATGGGTGACAATCGCTGCTGGTACAAGAATGGGTGACAATCGCTGCTGGTACAAGAATGGGTAGAAGTTATTGCTCGTAGAAGAATGGGTGGCAGCCACTCCTGGTACCAGAATGGGTGACAGTCACTGCTGATACAAGAATGAGTGAAAATCACTGCTGGTACAAGAATGAGTGACAATCACTTCTGGTACAAGAATGGGCGACAATCACTGCTAGTAAAAGATGGGAGGCAGTCACTGCTGGTACAAGAATCGCTGACAGTCATTGCTGGGTCAGGTCACTGTTGAGTCAAGCCACTGCTGGGTCAGGTCACTGCTGGGTCAGGTCACTGCTGGGTCAAGTCACTGCTGGGTTAAGTCACTGCTGGGTCAAGTCACTGCTGGGTCAAGTCACTGCTGGGTCAGGTCACTGCTGGGTCAGGTCACTGCTGGGTCAGGTCACTGCTGGGTCAGGTCACTGCTGGGTCAGGTCACTGCTGGGCCAGGTCACTGCTGGGTCAGGTCACTGCTGGGTCAGGTCACTGCTGGGTCAGGTCACTGCTGGGTCAGGTCACTGTTGGGTCAGGTCACTGCTGGGTCAGGTCACTGTTGGGTCAGGTCACTGCTGGGTCAGGTCACTGCTGGGTCAGGTCACTGCTGGGTCAGATCACTGCTGGGTCAGGTCACTGCTGGGTCAGATCACTGCTGGGTCAGGTCACTGCTGGGTCAGGTCACTGCTGGGTCAGGTCACTACTGGGTCAGGTCACTGCTGGGTCAGGTCACTGCTGAGTCAAGTCACTGCTGGGTCAGGTCACTGCTGGGTCAGGTCACTGTTGGGTCAGGTCACTACTGGGTCAGATCACTGCTGGATCAGGTCACTGCTGGGTCAGATCACTGCTGGGTCAGGTCACTGCTGGGTCAGATCACTGCTGGGTCAGGTCACTGCTGGGTCAGGTCACTGCTGGATCAGGTCACTACTGGGTCAGGTCACTGTTGGGTCAGGTCACTACTGGGTCAGGTCACTGCTGGGTCAGGTCACTGCTGGGTCAGATCACTGCTGGGTCAGGTCACTGCTGGGTCAGGTCACTGCTGGGTCAAGTCACTGCTGGGTCAGGTCACTGCTGGGTCAGGTCACTGTTGGGTCAGGTCACTGCTGGGTCAGTCACTGCTGGGTCAGGTCACTACTGGGTCAGGTCACTGCTGGGTCAGGTCACTGCTGGGTCAAGTCACTGCTGGGTCAGGTCACTGCTGGGTCATTTCACTGCTGGGTCAGGTCACTGCTGGGTCAGGTCACTGGTGGGTCAGGCCACTGCTGGGTCAGGTCACTGCTTGGTCAGGTTACTGCTGGATCAGGTCACTGCTGGGTCAGGTCACTGCTGGGTCAGGTCACTGCTGGGTCAGGTCACTGCTGGGTCAGGTCACTGCTGGGTCAGACCACTGTTGGGTCAGGTCACTGCTGGGTCAGATCACTGCTGGATCAGGTCACTGCTGGGTCAGATAAATGCTGGGTCAGGTCACTGCTGGGTCAGATCACTGCTGCGTCAGGTCACTGCTGGGTCAGGTCACTGCTGGGTCAGGTCACTGTTGGGTCAGGTCACTGCTGGGTCAGATCACTGCTGGGTCAGGTCACTTCTGGGTCAGGTCACTGCTGGGTCAGGTCACTGCTGGGTCAGGTCACTACTGGGTCAGGTCACTGCTGGGTCAGGTCACTGCTGGGTCGTCACTGCTGGGTCAGGTCACTGCTGGGTCAGGTCACTGCTGGGTCAGGTCACTGCTGGGTCAGTCACTGCTGGGTCAGGTCACTACTGGGTCAGGTCGCTGCTGGGTCAGGTCACTGCTGGGTCAAGTCACTGCTGGGTCAG